ATTTTCATTTCTTCAATTTTATTTTATTTTTCCTTCCTTTCCCCTAGGTTCATCTGTTTTGTTTCTTAAATTCCACATATGACTGAAATCATATGGTTATTTGTCTTTCTCTGGCTGACTTATTTCACTTAGCATAATACCCTCTAGCTCCTGGATAAATTCTAAATCCTGGAGTATTTTTATGTCCACTGTCATCCATTAAAATAGAAATGGACAAGTTTTCTAATAGTCAGGCATCTTACCCCATTACCTTTTCTTTTTGAACACATGTCTCCACTCTTTGCTCACTGAATTTTATCCTAATGTCATACATATTTTTCTACTTGAAACTCTTATCTTGATCATAATAACATACATCTCTGTGGAATGATGTATATAAAATGAAATTTTAAACTGAAAAAATCGCTGTGACCACAAGCATCCCACCTGTTAAAATAAGTAAGCAAAGTAAGCAAGTAAATAAATACTATACAGTAAGAGACAGAATTAATTAGAACCAAGGACTATGCTCCAGCTTCAAGATCTTCACTCTGCTCTGCTGTACTCTGGGACCTTAGAGAAGAAAGTGCCTACAGTCAAGGTAAGATTCAAGATGCCTAATAGGTAGACCTTTCTCTTGTAAATTTGGAGAAGGGTAATTGTGAAAGTAGAAGTGAGAATGGGGAACCAACAGGAACTCTTCCACCTCAGGTACAATCATGGCACATCAGTTTTAGAGAACAGTCCATTAAGTTAGAAATTAATTCTGTTCAAACTTTTCCTGTCTGCATACCTCCTTGGGAAGTCATTGTGGACTTCTAGAGGAAGGTTCCTCAAGGGCAGCATCATTAACATCTGTGCTTTGTTGTAGGGTGCTGTTCTGTGCATTGTAGGGTATTTGGCAATATCCCTGAGCTCTGCCCGCTGGATGCCAGTAGTAGCCCCCTTCTTTAGTTGTGACAACCTTAAATGTCTGCAGATGTTGCCAAATGTTGAGGGGGGCGTGTAAGCACCCCAAATTGAGCACCACTGTTCTTCTGCTATGCATACCCCCATTTGAAGATTGCTTTTATCCAGCTTGTTAGGAATGTGAACAAGGCCCAGCTCAGCCAAATGTGTGATTTGTGCTTTTTTTCAGCAAAAGGGCAGAGTCTAGTTGTTTGCATTTAAATTCCCTTCCTGAATGAGTGGGGACTTGTTGAACCCATGGAGAGAGACAAAGAGTTGTTGAATCCATATCAAAGTTGTTGGGTTTAGATGTCCATTGAGAGATTAATGGATAAAGAAGATGTGGTATATATACACAATAGAATATTACTCGGCCACCAAAAAGAATGAAATCTTGCCATTTGCACTGATGTGGGTGGGACAGAGGGTATTATGCTAAACAAAATAAGTCAGAGAACAACAAATAATATATGATTTCACTCATATATGGAAATTAAGAAACAAAACAGATGAGAAGGGAAGGAAAAATAAAATGAGATAAAAACAGAGAGGGAGGCAAACCATAAGAGACTCTTAACTCTAGAGAACAAACTGAGGGTTGCTGGAGGGGAGGTAGGTGGGGGGATGGGGTAACTGGGTGATGGGCATTAAGGAGGGCACTTGATATAAAGAACACTGAGAATTATATGAAACTGATGAATCACTAAACTCTACCTCTGAACCTAATAATACATGTTAAGTAAATTGAATTTAAATTCTTTTTTTAAAAAAACATTAAAAAATGTTCTTGGGCTTAAGAGAGCATTGGGTCTTGAGGGAAGCAAGATTAGGTTAGAAAATATTTAAAGATGCCAGAGAAGGGGAAGAATGAAGGTGAGGAATGAGGAATGAAGTCACTAACAACAGAAATTATGACAGCTGCCATTTATATTTTGTCAGCCATTGTGCTAAGTACTTCATATGGATTATCTTGTGGAATAATCACAATAACCTAGGAGACAGATATAATCATGTGTTAGGGTACAGGTTAAGCTGCTGTAACAAAAAGACAAAAAATCTTCAGCAATTTAGACAAAATAGAAATGTCTATCTCTGTGAAAAGACCAGGTAGGCTGTTTAGGGTTACCCTGGTATACCATGTTGAGGATCCAGCCTGCTTCTATACTGTTCTCTTCAATATCTAGCTTCCATCTCATGGCCCTGGATGCCAGCTGCCAATCCTTCTATCAGATCTGTATTCCAGCCAGTGTGAAGGGTATAAAGGGAAAGGTGAGGAAATATACTTTTCTTTCAGGGGCACAATCTAAAAGTTATATACATCATTCAATTCACACCCTATTGACTTGACCAAGCTGCAAATAAAATGTGAGCTTTAGCTGAGCAGCCATGTATCCAGCTATAGGCATTGGAGAACTATAGCTTGAGGCCCAGTGGCTTTTTTCTTGGTAAATAAAATTTTATTGCATACAGTCATTCTCATTAATTTATGTATTATCTATGCTGTTTTCTCATGACAATGACATTTTTCAACAGTTGTGGCAAAGATCAGACAGCCTGCAAAGCCTAGAATCTCTGGCCTTTAAGAAAAAGTTTGTCAACTTCCGCTGTAGAAGAAGGAGGAAATGGATATTTGGAGTCTTCTAGTAGGCTTTGCCACAATTCTCGCTTAACAGATGAGGAGATGGAAGCACATAGAGGTTAAGAGAATGGCCCAAGGTGACATACTAATATGTGGTAGAGCTAAGATCTGAATGTGGCTCTGTTTGGCCTCAAAAGCAAAAGCACTATTTATTGTATCATACTGCCTTATGAATTAATTCAGCAAATATTTATTGTGTCTACTTGGCATCAGGCAATGTTTTAGATGTTTGGGATTCAACGATGACTAAAAGATAGGAAATCAATACTCTTGTGAAGCCTACATTAAATGAAACAGATTATTAGGAAGGAGTTAAACAAAATATATCCTATGTTAGAGGCAATAGAAGATATAAGTAAAAAGTAAATCAGGAAAAAGGGGAAGGCAATGATAGAGTTGAAGTAAGGATTCATTTTTAAAAGAAATGTTTAAAGATGGTTGCAATATTGGAGAAACCAAGGAGAATGAGTTTGGGCCATAGCTTTTGAGGAACAGGTGGGAAGCTGGGCTGAGGACACCCAGGAAAGGCCCTGAGTTTTCCCTCAAAAGAAACTGGGCAGGAACTGGAGCCGAAGGAACCAAGAAAATATGGATGTCCATGGCTTAGGCGTGGTGGGTACCTGGTGCAAAGTAGATGGATCAGAAGAAGTCTGGTTTAAAGGTATTAGATTATGGTGGAGCATTTGCCTTTAATCCTTTTAGGCAAAATGCCAAAAACCTTTTGCATAGAGACAAAAAGAATATATACATATGTACGTGTAAATAATAGCAGGCAGTGAGCATGTTCGTATGGTGGAAAGACCATGAATATTGGAGGCACACAAAACTGTGAATCTCGGCTCATGCTTGATGACTTCAGGCAAATTGTTATTTGTACTACTATTAGCCATGATTTCTGACCATTTTCTATGTTGCAGGCACTTTATATTCATAATCTCTTCTAATCCTTACATAACTCTATAAATAGATATGAGTGTTACCTTCAATTATCTTTAAGTTAATTAAGTGGTGAAATTAAGTGGTGATAGGTAACAGTTGAGAAGTAATGAGAGCTGTACAATTTCCTCCCATGCATTTATATTGCTTTATCTTATTTAAGTATAGTGATAAGTAATGTTGGTTAATGCTTCTGTGGGGCTGTTTTCACAAAGAATTTCATTTTGTAAAGAAAAATTTTAATGTTTATTTAGTGCTAACTATATGTCAGACACTGTTTTACTTTACATGTATTTACTCTTCAAAACAATACTGTGAGGAGTTACTATTATCTTCACTTTTCAGATGAGAAACTTAGGCCCAGAGAGCCTAAGTAACTTGCCTAAGGTCACACAGCCAATAAATGGAGAGGCTAGGAGTTGATCCTGGGCAGTCTGGCACTGGTATTTCCGTGTTTAATCATTATACTACACTGCTTTACAAAAAAACCCAATAAAACAACTGAATGAGAAAAACGTGCTAATTTATCTTCCACTGCTCATTATGTATATGGAAAGCTTGGTTATTTGGACCTTGTGATCTAACCCATGGCCACTGCTACCTCCCTAATGCCAGCATATCTGAATTGCAGGCAAAGACCAATGGTATGAATATTTCACTTCTAGAAGATAGCTCTGGGAAAACCAAATTTTAAAAGTGATGGCAAATATGATAGCATGTGTGACTATCTATTCCTAACTGTGTAGCTCCAGTTGGATGTGTGTGTGTATTCAGATGCATGCACATGAGTATAATCAGCAGTTTCAGGTGGCAGCTGCTGGGCTTTCTTCCCAGTAGCCTAAAATCCAGTCTTTTTATGGCAAGATTAAAAAGTAAGAAATTTTTATTCTGTTTTAGAATATAAACCTATTTTTCTAGAATCTGTTCTCTCCAGGAACAACCATTCTGCAATTCCATGGATGTCGCTACCAAACAAGCATGGATGACCCAGTACCATCAATGGAATGATTCTCTGCTTCAGTCCTGGCATTTCAGCTCCCATTTCATGCTCTGGTAAAGAAAGTCATAAATATGATTTGCTGTCTGGCCTGTCATTTCTTTGAATTGTCAACATTTAGTAAAGATTTTCCTTGGGAATTTCTTCTGTCCAAAATGGCACTAAGGATGCCAAGCATGGGCTCTATACATCTTCTTTGAATGTGAATTTGGGGGTCTTGACCTGCTACCAGTATAGTTGTGCTCTGAATTATTCCCTAACTGGTAGGGATAGATTTTCATTGAGCCATTCCTTCTATCATTTAGTTTCCTCATCTTATTCCACCCCTGACCAAATGACAAGTTCAGCTGATTTCTATAAAATAACTTTTCTAAGGGCAAATTTAACTGGCTACCATGAGAACCAATCCCTAGGAGATGCCCTTATTAGTACAAACTCTAACCACTGATAGAATTGGACTACATAGGAAATCTTAATGGCTGAAGGATCTGATATAACAGGATGGAGAAACTGACGCTTCCTCCTGAACTTCTGACTTCTGTGGGGCTAGGAAATACTACTATGACAGTTACTGAATTTATCATACTAGGGTTTAGAGACCTCAAGGAATTGGGCCCCTTGCTCTTCTTGGTGTTTGGCATTGTCTACCTAGCCACCATATCTGGGAATCTTCTCCTTGTGGTCCTGGTGAGCACTCAGTGGGGACTCCAGACACCAATGTACTTCTTTCTGGCAAACCTCTCATGCCTAGAGGTCTGTTATACACCCAACATTGTGCCCAGGATGCTGGTGGACTTGCTGAGAAAGAACAGAGTTATCTCCATGGCATGTTGTGTTATGCAGCTCTACTTCTTTGGGGCTCTGGGCAGCACTGAATGCTATCTTCTGGCAGCGATGTCATATGACCGTTACCTGGCTGTCTGCCGGCCCTTGCACTATTCAACACTAATGCATGGAGCCATATGTGTGGGGCTAGTAATTGGCTCGTGGGTTAGTGGCTTCACAGTAACAGCTGCATTCCAGGCTGCTGTGGTAACCAGTTTGAACTTCTGTGGTGGCAATGAGATTGACCATTTTTTCTGTGACTTGAAACCTCTGCAGAAGCTCTCCTGCTCAGATCCCCATCTGGTCAACCTGGTCTGCATGAGTTTAACAGTGCTGGTGACTTTGGCCCCCTTTGGACTAACCCTAGCTTGCTACTGGAAGATTCTTTCCATGGTCTTGCATATACCTTCCATGACTGGTAGGCAGAAGGCTTTCCCTACATGTTCTTCTCTTTTTTTTTCTATTTATTTATGAGAGAGAGAGAGAGAGAGAGAGAGAGAGAGAGAGAGAGAGAGATGGAGAGAGAGAGAAGCAGAGATACAGGCAGAGGGAGAAGCAGGCTCCATGCAGGGAGCCTGACGTATAGGACTCCATCAGGGACTCCAAGATCACACCCTGGGCTGAAGGCGGCGCTACACTGCTGAGCCATCCAGGGATCCCCTCTACACGTTCTTCTCATCTAGTGGTTGTGACCTTGTTTTATGGGACCCTGATCCTGGTCTATGCTGTGCTCTTGGCTGGGCAGGTGCCAGTTCTCAACAAAATCTTCTTGCTCTATACTATTGTCACTCCCATGTGTAAGCCCTTTAACTACAGCCTCAAAAACAAAGATGTCAGGGAGGCCTTGAGAAAGCTGAGGATTTGATCATACAATGATGAGTTCCATTCAATCAACAAAAAATGATGGCAGTGAAGTTCAAAACACTGTTTGTCCTTACCCTCAGGGAACTCTCAGCCTTATTAGGAAAGCATAGGATAGATTATAATATTTATAAGGTGAAATATTGGTTAATACCCAAATCATCTATTTAACTGATTTGGGGGACGGGTTTGTAGCTTTGTCTTGGTGTCCTTGAAATTGTCTAGTTTCCCTTGAGCATATTTATACGGTGAGAAGGGAGGAGCACCTCCTAGGAGAGAAATTATTCTGGGATAGAAAATAAATAGTTGCTGCATATCATCCCCCCAAAAGCTCAATCCTGAAGGTAGGTATTGGCAAGTGTGCTTTAGTTGTCTTCAATTTCATGTGTGTGTGTGTGTGTGTGTGTGTGTTTTATGAGACTGGGAGATTTGGGGTTGGAGGAGGAGTGTAACTGTGCCATCCACATAAGATTAAAAAAAGATAATGGTAGGATCTAATAAAATATATGGAAACACCCTAGAAGACTAGTTTTAGAGAAATGTGCATTAAGCACAATTTTTTAGACATGTGGATTGCCTCTAGGCACTCTTTTCCAAGTTGAATTTTCTCTAGCATTTACAGCTACCCACTATATTTTCATTTTGTTCTTTCCATTCTCCCCCCAGATCCTCTTTCTGCTATATTACCTGAGTTTGCCTTGCTGGCCTCACTTGTGCTTTTGTTTCTTATTTTTGTATCTGTTACCAGCATTATCAACTGGTATACTCAAGCTACACTTCAAGAGAGAGGGAAGGTTGGAACACCTGGGTGGCTCAGCGGTTGAGCGCCTGCCTTCAGCCCAGGGCATGATCCTAGAATCTCAGGATCGAGTCCCACATTGGACTCCCTGCATGGAGCCTGCTTCTCTCTCTGCCCATGTCTCTGCCCCTTTCTCTGTGTCCCTCATGAATAAATAAATAAAATCTTAAAAAAAGAGAGAGGGAAAGCAAAAAGATTCTGCTGTGATAAGGGACAGAATACATGTATTTGTTTATTGAGTCAAAAATACTTATTGAGGACCAGCCCCGGTGGCGCAGCGGTTTAGCGTCGCCTGCAGCCCAGGGTGTGATCCTGGAGACCCGGGATCAAGTCCCACATCGGGCTTTCTGCATGGAGCCTGCTTCTCCCTCTGCCTGTGTCTCTGCCTCTCTCTCTCTCTCTCTGAATGAATAAATAAATAAATCTTTAAAAAAATACTTATTGAGGGACGCCTGGGTGGCTCAGCAGTTGAGCGTCTGCCTTTGGATCAGGGTGGGATCCCGGAGTCCCAGGATTGAGTCCCACATCGGGTTCCCGGCGTGGAGGCCGCTTCTCCCTCTGCCTGTGTCTCTGTCTCTCTCTCTTTCTATGTCTCTCATGAGTAAATAAATAAGATCTTTAAAAATATATTTATTGAATGAATAATATTAAAATATTTATTGAGAGCCTAATATTATTCAGGCATTGATTGTGGTACATACTAGGAATACAATAGTGAACAATGTAGATACAGATTCTGACCTCAAAGATTACAGCCTTGGTGGCCTTGGTGTTCAAATTGTTCAGAATTTATGTTTTTTACATTATAGACTACATAGTTCTTGAAAGCACTGCCTATAAAGAGAATCTCTGCATGTAAAAATCCCAATATTCTTATTTACCTTAATTTTAAGAGTAATTGTATAATTATAAAAATATTTTATTTATTCATTCATGAGAGATACAGAGAGAGAGGCAGAGATATAGGCAGAGGGAGAAGCAGGCCGCCTGCAGGGAGCCCGACCCCAGACTCCATCCCAGGACCCCGGGATCATGACCTGGACTGAAGGCAGATACTCAACCACTGAGCCACCCAGTCATCCCATGTAATTTTATAATTAATATGAAACAACCTAATGTAAAGATCTAACAAGGCATTTAGTAGGACATATGAACAAACACAAATGCTCAGAATGTCCCTTGCTTAGTTAGCTAAATTCACCCCATTTTTTCCTTTAAGAACCAACTCAAGTTCTACCTTCTCTTGGAACTCTCCCTGACTGTCCTGTGCAGGTCATTTCTTCCCCTGAGAAATTGTATATTTCCCTTCATTTGACAAGTAGCATTCTCTGCTCTTTATGTTTTATGTATATGCCCTATCTTTCTAGTGAGATTATAAATCCTTCAAGGACAGAGACAGAAAGTCCTTTCTAGCTGTACAGTCAAGTACCCAGAATAGTGCATTACACACAGCAGACCTGTATTCAAAGGATAAAAATCTGAGCTCTTCAGCATGGAAATCAAGGTCTTCCATGGTCGTGCTTCTGCCTCCTTCCTTGCTCTCATTTCCCACCAGGCTCCATCTCGGTTTACCATATCACACCTATGCATCTTTACTCATGCCCTTTGCCAGGAAGATTCTGCCCATATTTGTTTTTCACCTGGCTAATGCCCCTTCATCTTTTGCATGCATTGCCATCCTAACTAGAAAGACTTACCTGATTGTTTTCTTCCATCCAACACATTGAATAAAGGGATACTCTCCTGCATCTCCATGGATTCATTGTGAACCTATGTTTAAGCAGGAATTACATTATCTGGTGGTTTGCCACTGTATCTTCAGTACCTAGAAGAATTCTTGGCATAGGAGACACCTAAGTAACACTTGCTGAGTAACTAGCTGAATGGTTGTATATCTTCCTTCCCTAGTAGACTATTTTTATTTCATTAGCCTCAAGTACCACCTATATACTGATGACCCCTCCATAATTTGATGCTATGACAAATACTAAGAAGAAAAATCAGTCTGCTGGGAAGGCATATAAGAAGGATAACTAATTTGGATTGGGTTGGAAATATCAAAAAATACTTCTCTGAAGATATGGCATTTGAACAGAGGCCAGAAAGATGAGTAGGAATAAGCCAGGCAAAGATAGGTTACAAGGTCGGGTAGGGGAGGGAAAGATTTCAAAAGAGAGATTGGCCCACATCAGGGTCCTGCAGTGGTAAGGACCTTGAAGTGTTTGGGGTCAGAGAAAAGGCTAGTTTGGTTACAATGTGGTGACCAAGGGGAAGAATGTGGTAGGTGGTTACCAAGGGGAAGAATGTGGTAGATGGGGCTGAGAAGGTAGGCAGGAGCGAGATAATACAAGGTCTCACTGGATTTCATTGTAAGATTAGAACCCTTTGAAGTGTCTTTAGGAGAGTGACATGATTCATGTTATGTTTTAAAATCACTGTGGCTGATATATACAGAATGACTTTTAATAGGGGTGGAGGCTAACAGACATTGATAAGCCAGTTAGGGCACTATTACAATTTTACCAGTGAGAGATGCTGGTAGTGTGGACTAGGAGAGTAGTGGCAGAGATGGGGAGAAATGAATTGAGCTCTATATATTCAGAGGTAGAAATGATAGGGTTTGGTGATGGGTTATAGAGGAAGGCATCAGTAATAACTCTCAGGCTACTGGTTTGTGAGTTGAATATGTGCTTGGGCCACTCACTGGGATGGAAGAGCCCTGGAGTAGCTCCACATTTGGGGAAGAAGAGAGATGATGAGCTCAGTTTTGTATGAGAGTATTTTGACATAGCAGTGGATGTTAACTAGGTGGTTAAATATACTGATCTGAAACTCAGAAGAGATATCTGGGCTAGAAATATGAATTTAGAAGCCATCAGAACGTAGATAGCATTTAAAAGCTTGGAAATGGATGAAGTCATGTAGAGAAGTAGTGTAGAAGGAGCAGAGAACTAAGAATGGAGCCCTGGGAATTCCACCATTTAGAGGTCACGTAGAGGAAGAATAACCAGTAAATAAGACCGAGGAAGAATAGAGAGATAGGAGGAAATCCATACATGCAAGTAGAGGGAAGAAAAGTCTTTTTTTTTTTTTGAGGAGAGAATTTTTTAGGGAAGAAAGGCTGGTAAACTATACTAAAGGCTGCTGAGAGGAGGAGCAAGATGAGGACAGAGAAGAATTCATTGTATCTGATAACACTGATGGCCTCACTAACAGAACTTTTGGTAGAGTGATGGGTGCAGAAGCCACACTGGAGTGAGATACAGGAATGAATAAAAAGTGTAGATAACACTATGGGTAGATAATTCTTTGGAGAAGTCTGGCTCTGAAAAGATAGATTTGGTGAGAGCTAGAACAGAGAACTTAAGGCAAGATGTTTGTTCTTATAATGGGAAAGAATAGAAAATGTTTCAATACCAGTAGGAAGAAGAATTGATTAGAAAGGGAGAAGTTGAAGATGCAGGAGGCCAGGAGGACACAATGTTTTATGGCCCCTGCAAAGGTTGAGAAGTTGAAGGTCCAGAGCACATGTGAAGGGACTGGCCTCTGATCAAAGGAATGACACTTAAACTGTGACAAATATGTACTGAATGCCTACTGTGTACTTGATTTTGTTTCAAGCACTAGAGTTACAACAATGAAGAAAGCATTATCTCTGTCTTCACAAAATTCACAGTTTGGTGGAAGAGACAGACAAGTAAACTGTTATAATCAGGTTTATTAATGTTCTGAAAATTACAGTGTCCTGTGGAGAGTTATTGTTATGGGTAGAATTTTGTTCCCCAAAGAAAGATATATTTTGGAATCCTAATGCCCAGTACCCCAGCATGTGACCTTATTTGTACAGGGTCTTTACAGAGGTAATCAAGTTAAAATTAGGTCATGAAGGTGGGCTCCAATTTAATATGACTGGTGTCCTTATAAAAAGGGGAAATTTAGACTCAACAACACACATGAACAATGCCATGTGAAGATGGAGGCAGAGTTGGAATGCTATCTGCAAGCCAAGAAACACCAAAGATTGCCAGCAAACCACCATAATCCAGGAGACATGTGACAGATGCTTCCTCACTGCCCTCTGAAGAAATCAATGCTGACTTGACCCTGGACTTCTGGCCTCCAGAACTGTGAGGAAGTAAACTTTTGTTGTATGGACCACTCAGTTCATGGTACTTTGTTATGGCAGACCTAGAAAATGAATACAG